TCCCATAGACAGCAACACAACTGACACGTTCAAGGCCCAGAAAGGTAGTAAAGACATCATTAAAATAGCCCATGTGACATACAACACACATGCATCGTGGTACTCTCGTGAATGCAACACGGAAGAGAAGAATTGTTGAATAAAGTCATTATTTTAGTTTTCTTTGCGCACAAAAAGTATTCTCGTAGCTTCACCACATTACGGCTGAACCACTGATGTCACATGGACTATTTTAACGATGTCGTGCACGTTTCAGTTGCATTGCTGTCTATGCAGGGTCAGAAAGCTCTCGGATTTCATCAAAAATATCTTTATTTGTGTTCCGAAGATCTTACAGGTTTGGAACGACACGAGGTGAGTAAATAATGTTTCATTTTTGGGTGAACTACTCTTTTAAGAAACCTAGAAGGAAGAAAGAATGTAACTTTTTTAGAAATGTAATCTAATAAAGAACCATACTGCAACTCAACAACCCGATAAATTGAAAAAAAAAAGTTTGTTGAGAGGAATAAAGTGAATCAAAAATGCTGCAAAGTCCTTTATTTGGACTGTTTATGTTTCTTCCATCGATTCCACAGTAAAACACACTCACAGTCCGTATCATTAGCACTTTGTTTTGATTAAAGGACTGGTGTGGTGGAAACTGTTTGGTGGCCGCTTTGAGGTGAACATCCTACAAGCGCTGGAGTAATTTCACATCTCTGTTAGCCGCTACAGTTACGGCTCATAAAATCCCAGCAAAACCTCCCAAAAACGCTTGACTTTGAGTCCAAACACGGACACCAGAGGCCCGGGGCGCCCTCAGACAGCAAAGGAATCTAATGAAACGTCAGAGCAGATATACAGAGACACAGAGCTATCAGCCCCCGTCATCTGAGCGCTCGCTTCCACAGATCTCACTGTATGAGCGCAAGCTCACCAATCTGACATGATTAGCACTTCACATCCCACAAACGACAGACACAAACTCATCCATCACGTCTGCTGAGGTCAGAGACTCGGGCCATGTCGGGAGTTTTTCCCTCTTCCGTTTAAAAAAAAATCTCCGTCCACATGAAAACGCAAAAGAGATAACGGTGCATGCTCCGACGTCACAAGCCAAAAAACTCCGGTTTCGCTGTCTACACGACAACACTGCAACCAGAGTTTTTGAAAATCTTCACCCTGGCAGGCGTTTTCAAAAATGTTCGGTTTCAGTGACCCGGTGCTGCGTTTGCGTGTGGACGAACGGCCTAAACGTGTAGAAAAAGCTGCGGTTTTAAAAATAACCGTGTTCGTGTGGACAGGGCCTCGAGCTCTGGCTGCACACTGTTATTCTACTGTCTTTGAGATTACTTTGAGATAGATTTTCTGTTTTCATTTTGATTTTTTGTTATTTTGTTGCGTTTTTGTCTTTTTTTTTAAACATCTGTATATTTGTAGTTTATTTATTTTTAGTCGTTTTATATGGAAGCCCGTTTCCGCCACTGAATAAAAAACGAAAAAGGTAATTGCGACTTTTTATCTCACAATTCTGACTTTGTTTCTCAGAATTGCGTGATATAAACTCGCAATTGAGTTAAAAAGTCACAATTGTGAGATATAAACTCGCAATTCTGAGAAATAAAGTCAGAACTGCAAGATATAAACTCACAGTTGCGAGTTATAAAGTCCGAATTGTGAGATATAAACTTGCAATTCTGAGCACAAAGTTGCGAGTTAAAAAAAAAGTCAAAATTGCGAGAAAAAAAGTCAGAATTCTGAGAAAAAAAGTCTGATAAAAAGAAAAAATGTGAGATAAAACGCAATAACCTTTTTTTATTTTTTATTCAATGGGCTTCCATAGTTACTTCATCATGAAGCAAACGAAAATTAGAAATGTTTTCATTGGCAACTATCTAAAATAAAATCCCTTTTAAATTTAATTTCTTTAAAATTAAATAAAAAAAAATTTTTTTTTAGTGCTTTTAGTTTTAGTTAACCATAATAACTCTGGTTTGGAAGCCTGTATAAAAAAAAATAATTTGTGACTTTTTATCTCACAATTCTGAGTTTATTTCTCACAATGCAGACTTTGTTTCTTGCAATTTTCTCAGAACTGCGAGTTTAAATCTCACTATTTTTATTTCGGTCATGGAATAAAAACATAAAAAGGTAAATTTGACTCTTTAATCTCACAATTCTCACACTTTTTCCTTGCAATTGCGAGTTTATATCTCACAATTTTGACTTTTTAAAATGTTTATATCAATTCTGAGTTTATGAAAAATAAAGTAAATATTTTGAGATATACACTCAAAATTAAGAGAAAAAAGTCAAGAGTTGTGAGATTAAAAAGTCGAAATTCTGTGAAATTGGCTTCCATACTCTGGAAACCACATATTCAGTTCTAATGAAATATGAATTCTGATAACAAAATGACTTGATCTTGACTTCAGATGTTTCCCAACTTTGTTGGCACAGTTTATATGTATCCACAAATCTCAAGATAGAAATTTCAAGCATTTAAGCAGAAGTGTGTAGATTTGAAGTGCTCGTGCTCTCTAAGTAAGTGATCTGATGTATCTGATGTAACTAGTGCACTGATGTGGTGTAAGTGTCTCCTGTCGTACCTCTCCTCCAGTGCAGAGACGCAGAGATGGACATCTGACACATCAGCGCAGACACAGACAGAATCCGGAGGGCTGTCATGCTGTTTCTCCTCTTCAGTCAGGCCGAGTGACCGACGCACTCAATGGTAAATAAACAAAAGCTCACAGACCGACACAGAGAGAGAGAGAGTCTGGCCTGCTGTCCCTCTTCCTTTAACATACTACCTATTTCTCCTCCCTCTCTGACGGGCTGGAATGTGTGTGTGTGTGTGTGTGTGTGTGTGTGTGTGTGTGTGAGTGTGTGTGTGAGAGTGTGTGTGTGT